TGACATCATGGTCTTCAGCAAAGATGAACAAGAGCACTATGTTCATGTTACACAGGTTCTCAGAACCATTTTAAAATATGGAATAATACTTTCAAAAAAGAAAGCTCATCTTTTCAAAACAAAAATTAATTTTTTGGGTTTAGAAATAAATGAGGGTACTCATTGTCCTCAAAAGCATATTCTTGAACATTTACATGACTTTCCAAATGTTTTAGAAGACAAAAAACAACTGCAAAGATTTCTTGGTGTTTTAACTTATGCTGAAACATATATTGAAAAACTTGCAGCCATGAGAAAACCTTTACAGGTAAAATTGAAAAAAGATGTCATCTGGAATTGGTCAAATGCTGATACAGACTACATCAAAAAGATAAAGAAAGTTTTAATCAATTTTCCAAAACTTTATCTTCCAAACATTGAAGACAGTTTAATTATTGAAACTGATGCTTCTGATGAATTTTGGGGAGGTGTTTTAAAAGCTAAAACCCCCAAAAACGAAGAACAAATTTGCAGGTACACCTCTGGCAGTTTCAAGGCAGCCGAGAAAAACTACCATAGCAATGAAAAAGAATTACTCGCTGTAAAAAGAGTTATTACAAAATTCTCTGTATATTTAACACCAGTAAATTTCCTGGTTCGTACAGATAATAAAAATTTTACTTATTTCCTCCGAACTAAGATTGCAGGAGACAACAAATTAGGCCGACTAATACGTTGGCAAGAGTGGTTCTCACGATATACTTTCACTGTTGAACATCTCGCAGGAAATAAAAATGTACTGGCAGACTGCCTCACCCGTGACTTCAGGTATACCTTACATCATCCATGATCTCACTTGCTCCTCTCGAGCCCTATAAAAGGATATGATCCTCATGACATATTCCTCACAAAAAAACTTCACCTACAAAAAAAGAGAGGGGGAGATTAGAGAGAAAAGTAAACAAAAATTGAGTTTACAAAAATGGAAGACCTCAACACTTTGAGGATAAAGAAACAAATGCTCCTCATTGAGCTATCTGCAATTGAGCAGAAAATCAACTTGTATGAACAAGTAACAACGGTCACCAATGTACCGGAAAGCGAAAGCTTAAAAACAAAGGCTATTCCAGTGCAAACGGCACCTGGTAAAGAATCGACAAATCCGTTGAAAGCTGATGCTTTGCTAAAAAGCATAATAAAGGAGACAGCTACTCCTCTTCCTGAAGGAAAAACTAGCTTATTGGTTAACCCCAATCCTTGTACTGAAGGAATCAGTAAAATGACAACTTTGTCACCCACCAACAAATCTGTGCAGGAGTTTACACCAGATTACAAAAAAGCTCTTAACAAAGAAGCTGAAAGATTTTATGTAATCTACAAAGGACCACATGCCGGTGTTCATACTGACTGGGGAATTACAGAAACTTTCTGTAAAGCTGATAAAGTTACTTGCAAAAAATTCAGAAATGAAGCATCTGCAAGATTAAGCCTTGCCACCTATCAAGATGATACAAGCAAAACTAACCAACCACTTCTTCGACCAAAAATCCAAAAAGTCAAAGAAGCTCACAGAAACCAAAGGTTTGACGTTCCAATTGACGTTCAACAAACGGTTAACTATCCTGAAATCTCTTTTGAAGATTTCAGAACAATCTGGAAGAAAGCAAGAGCTGCATGCCCAGAAGATCTTATTTATGAAAAGTTTTTCACTACGGATAAGAAGACAAAAAGTCTGTTCAACTTCCTCGAAGGAGCAGATGCAAATTTAGTCTACCAAGCCTTTCAAGCTGGACTAATCGACAATATCTACCCAAGTTGCAACCTTCAAGAACTCAAATTCTTCCCAAGCAGCATGGTAGAATCCATTAAGAACTTTCGAAAGAAAGTACTTAAAGCAAAAGATAACCCGATCTACATCAGATGCATCTCTTCACTCCCAGAATGGATTCAAGAATCAACTCTTTCTTCATACCATTTTCTGGAAATTGGTCTTTCTAAAACCAATAGAGAAATTGAACAATCTCGACCAATGGAGGATAAAGATCTACCATTCACAGAAATTCTTCATCCCAATCGCATCAATGGGTTAAGAAGAATCTCAGAAAAAATCATTGAGATTATCTCTGGTTCAAAAAAGAAGATTAATTATACCAACTCACATTGTATAATTACAAGCTGGAGTTACAACAACACCAGTCAAGAAGATCTTCGTCAAGCCTCTATGTTTGGCGAAAAATTCATGAACAATACCATGGAAGTCTCCAACGCTACACACCAACACTTCTGCCGACATGCAGAACAACTTTTCGAAGAACATCTCTGTCACTTTTGCGAAAGCAAAGATTCGGAGACAAAGGAGGGGCCCTCCTCTGAAGATGACAAATCCTCATCATCTTAATAGAAGATGCTCCGCACACTTCCATCCACTCAGAAAAATAATGCGTCTTACCTTTTAGAGATGCCTTCCAGCTATCCACAATAATGTAATTCGTTAGTGGAGAGAAACGTCATGCCTGACGTAACAAACAATTATCAGACCCTCTCAATGTATCTATAAATTGAGAGTTATGTTTTCATTAAGGGCATCGCAATAACGAGTGCAAAAAAAAAAACACTCTCTATCTTATAAATTTTTAATGTCTTGTGAGTAAAATCTCCCTTAGAGGGGAGAAGATGTAAAATATTGTAAGAGTACTCCCATCTTGGGAGCTCTTTTATCAATAAATCCATGTTTTGTTATACTTGAGTGTTCATACAAAATAGAGTAATGAAACCTGTAAGTGACAGAGTGTCAGGTCGACGATGGTCAACAGTACCGCAAGCATGAGGCCAACAGGGAAAGCAACCACACAGACCAAAGGATGACACAGGCTGGCTTGAATAGTTTCTATCTATGTAAGTAATACTCCTACTCCAAAACACTTATTGATTAAATGAGTTTTCTCTTTACAATTTTTGCATCTAGTCCCTTCTTCTTGTCAAAAAAAACCGCACACACACGCCTATTCAGAAAACCGCACACACACGACACGCCAACTGGTATCAGAGCCTTTGTTAAAATGGCATTACATTATAATGAAACACTTTACACTGGAATTTTCGATAAAATTCGTAAAAAGAGAATGAGATTTCTCAACATAAAGAAATACTTTTAAGTAATAAAAAAGATTTAGTGCATATAAATTTCAGAATTCTACAAGCACAAAATAAACATACTCACGAATATATACCAACCATGGTTAATATACGTAAGTACCTCCTTCATAGGCAAAAAAATGCATCAAGAACACCTTGATAAAGCTTTAAACACTCAGAAAAAGGATTTTAACTTGTTAACATTTCTTAAAATGAATAAAGAAATTTTCAACAATTCTGAAGAAAATGATTCAGAAGAAAAACAAATCCTAACTTATGTTGAGGATGAAGACGACTTTCATGCAAACCTCTTAATAAAACAAGACCCTCTCTCTCGAGTTAAAAAAACAGATTTAAAAATAAAGAAAGAAAACATTTTCAAAAATGTTCCTTCTAAACTTAGTATTTTAAATCCACTTAAAAGAAAAAATGAAATTTTCTACTTTGTTAGTACTAAAGAAATGTCTGTAGACATAAAAGACACAATAGGAGCTGTCTTTCTACCCCTTTAACTAAAGAACAAATAAACAATAACTTGAAAAGTATTCCAGTTGAGATTAGATCAAAAATAAGAATGGTCCATATCGGAGCTGTAAAATTTTTGATAAAATCCCAATTCCAAGCAGGAATAAATTCTCCCATAAAAATGGCCTTAATTGACAACAGAATTACTGACAGACAGGACTGCATCTTAGGTGCTGCTAGGGGAAACCTTGCTTACCAAAAATTTATGTTTTCAGTCTATCCAAAATTTGCTCTGGATTTGAAATCTGCAAATATAGATAAAACTTTATCTTTTATACATCACTTTGAAAGAAGTGACCTTATGAACCCAGGTGATAAACCATTCACCATAGCCTATCTCATAGGATATGCCCTGACCAATAGTCACCATAGCATAGACTACAAGAAAGACGAGTACATCGAACTTGATGATGTCTTTTAAGAAATAGGCCATGTCAAAGATAAACAATTCTGCGACATAAATCCTCAAGAAAACTCTTGGGTTTTAAATATAGCTAGAAACAAAAAAGCTCTAGGAGAAACTCTTAGACCAAGAATTTCTATGGATTCACTCCATATAGGAGAAAGCTCAGAAAGAAAAGATAGTAACTTGATAAGAAACATGTCTTTAAAAATTGATAGTCTACGTCAGAAATATCAAACAAATCTATTAATTATAAATGAGTAATAAAATAGATTTTCCTCATTTTTATAAAAAAGGTAAAACAATAAAAATTAAAACTCTTAAGGAAGATCATTAATACAAGATCAGTTAAAACAAAATAGAATACCCGAGCTTAGATCAATCAACCTCCTTAATGAAAAAAAATAGATGGGCTGATCATAAACTTTGACTTAACATCAATAAATACGAACCACTACACAGTTGGAAGTAGCATCTGCAAAAATTATTGAGACATTACTAAAATTATCTGAAAAGATTGACTCTTGCCCTTGTAATAAAGACATTCTTGAACACATCAAGAATATTTCCATCATAGAGCAAAAAACCAAACCTGAAAATATTCAGGTCTTAAGAAATACTCAACTCCCAATCCTAGTATTGGAAACCCTGACTTAGGAAGCTCAAAAGACTCCCAGAAAATTGATATTTTCAAAAAAGAGCAAAAATGAAAGAAACAATCTCTGAGAAACTTGAGAAATATTTCTTTAACCTTCAATATGAAGATTATGATAAGGCTGACCAAAAACTTATTCAACTTTTATCTTAGAAACTAAAGAATGCGAAGAATTGTATCAAAAAGAACCAAACTTTTTGATCAATATTTTAGAATGACTAAAATAGATGAACCTGATACTGAATCAGAACAAGAAGATAAATTAAAACTAATACAAAGACTGTTAAGTTCGAATATTCAGATATGGAAGATGATGAAGCAGAATCTTCTTATACAGCCACAAGAAGAGGCAATAAAAAGAAATATGAGTTCAAAATGCCTGTACACAATGGTATTCCAGATAGTAGCAAAGGACCCAATACGATCAATATACTCAATATTGATTGTATCCAAGATCTAAAACTCAGAGAAAGAGTTGTAGAAAAATGGGTTACTGAGATTTCACTAATCTTACAGACAAACCCAGATGAATTTGAAAAAGCAAAAAATGTTCTTCTACTTTTAGAACACAAAACTGATGGAATTGTGCAAAAGTTCCTAAGAAACAATAATTGGAATGAAGATTTGCATGGAGATCTTTTTGATAATCTCATAAATGTCATATACACTACTTTCTTAGGTCTTGATTATATTTCTAATAAAAGACTTTACCATTAATAAGAAAGTTGACGTAGCAAGAGTTTCAATGACAAAACTCCAATTACATGATATTAGTCTTCTCGACAAATACACATGTATGTATGAATCATATCTATATGATATTCCCCAGAGAAGTGAATATGCACAATGGATATCTGCGTATCTAATGAAAATTCCAATTATTGGAGAAATCTGTACTGAAAGATGGAAAAAAGAAGCTACTGGAGAAATCCAGCAAACCAGTCTATCTTATGCAACAAAAATTGCAAAGGAAGAAATTGATAGAATCTGTCAAGACAGATATAAACAACAAAAGCTCAAAACAATAAGTAAAGATTGTTGTAGCATTCTCTCTGATTTCAAAAACTTTGATATTGGAAGGAAAACTTATACTAAGAAAAAATATAAAAACAAAAAGAAATACAAATCTTTCTGGAAAAAGAAAAGAAGAAATTTTCACCAGGAAAATACTTCAAAACACCTTCAAAAGAATCATCTAAGAAGACTACTTCCTGTCCACAAGGAAAGAAAAAATGTAGATGTTGGATCTGCAATGAAGAAGGACACTATGCCAATGAATGTCCAAATAGAAAAAATACCCTGACAAGTCAAGGTTTTACAAACCGCTAATAATGGAGGTTATGAAGCTCTTGAAGAGGAGTATGAAGGTATACAACATGTCTTTACATTTCATGTTGAAACTGATTCTTCATCAAATTCTGATGAAAACGAATCAACCACGGATGACTCAGACTAGTCTCATACAGGCTCCACTTTTTAGGGGGAGGAGTTTAACCATTTTGCGCAAACCTCCAGAAGATTAATGATTCCCTTATCATGAATCTCACTAATCCAAACTCTATTTATGTTTCTGCCTTCCTTAACTTTAAAGGATATAAGAAATTTAGAGTACATTGTTTTGTAGACACAGGTGCATCTTTATGTCTTGCAAGCAAATTCATCATTCCGGATGAGCTCTGGGAAAATGCTCCCAAGAAATTAGTGCCAGTATTGCAAATGGTGAAACCATAAAGATAAATAAAGTTTGTAGAAATATTAATCTCGAACTTTCAGGAGAACATTTCAACGTTCCCACTATTTACCAACAAAATTCAGGAATTGATATCATAATTGGTAACAACTTTTGTCAAGTTATGACCATTTATACAATGGATAGATAGAATTGCCTTTCATCTTAATAATGATATGGTAATTATAAAAAAGGTTACAGAAGCCTATAGCAAAGGAAAACCAGGTTTTCTTGAAACTCAAGAAAAAGGCTCTAAAGAAAAACAAATTCCGGGTACTAATATTACCCAAGAAGGAATTAATAAAGAAAGGATTATTTCTATTCAAACTACCAGGTTCAAACAGATTGAAGATCTTCTTGAAAAAGTTTGTTCTGAAAATCCTATTGATCCAGATAAAACCAAAGGATGGATGAAAGCTTCAATTAAGCTCATTAATCCCAAAACGGTTATTAGAGAAAAACCTTTGGTTACTCTCTACAAGATAGATAAGATTCTCCAACAAATCAAGGAATTACTTGATATGAGACTAATTATAGAATCAAAATCCCCTCATATGTCCCCTGCCTTTCTTGTCAATAAAGAAGAAGAAAAAAAAAGAAGAGGAAAGAAGCGCATGGTTGTCAACTACAAAGCAATCAATGATGAAACTATTGGAGACTCACATAATCTTCCCAATATGCACGAACTTTTGACTCTTCTACGAGGAAAAAATATGTATTCAAGTTTTGACTGCAAGTCAGGTTTCTGGCAAGTCCTACTTGATGAAGAATCACAGCTTCTCACTGCCTTCACATGTCCTGATGGACTCTTTCAATGGAAAGTACTACCCTTTGGGCTTAAACAAGCTCCTAGTATTTTTCAAAGACACATGCAGAACGCCCTTCGAGGACTTGAAGGTTTCTGTACTGTATACGTTGATGACATCATGGTCTTCATCAAAGATGAACAAGAGCACTATGTGATGGGTTTTTGAGCATTCTAACACTTCCTAAGTGTACATGCAACCCTAATAACCTTGAATCTATGTTTTCTCTATATACATGCAAATTTCTTTTTAAAGGTTATTTCCTAACTAGCATGGCATGGGGATTACATAAAACATAAAAACTAGTAGAAATACATACCTTGTTGTTGCTTGGATTCCTTCAAGACTTTGTGAGCCTAGCACCCCAAATGTTGTGCCTCAAATGCTTCACACAACACCACAAGACTTGGAATAACTTGATAGAATACTTCTAGCACTCAAAATTGGTTATGCCCTCTCTAGTAACACTATGTCCACTAGTTCCACTTTTTGCTAGCCATAGGGTTCCTTTTATAGTGTTGTCACAATTAGGGTTTATACACGAATGCCCTTAATTGTCATGACTCTTGATTTCCCATGACCCATGGATTTGTAACTCCCATGGACTCTCCATGGAGCTCCATATGGTTACATCCATAACCCATAAACCATGGATCATTAATCCACCATAAAAGAATTGATGATTGTCATAATCAACCCTATATATTTAATTAGTCTCACTTTGATCACCAAATTAATACTAGATTAATACTTGATCAATACTAATTAAATAATACTATTATTAATATATTAGAACTTATAATATATTAATAATCATAAGTGCCTTATTCTCTCATTTAGTCTATCCAAGTATTGCAATGCCATGCAACCCAAATGGACCATGCCGGGTCGGGTCAAGTACATACCAAATAAAGTTATGGACTTAGACACTATATCCAACAGTCTCCCACTTGGATAAGTCTAATAACTATATTTGCAAATATGACTTCAAAATCCGACTAGCAATCGTAGCTCTTTCAAAGTCTCTCGGAACTGAGATGATGATGATACGCCATTTAAGATAAGTGATCATATAATCCTCTGTTCTCATGATATCAGCCGGACAAACACATGGAACATGGTCTTACTTATTGTCCAGCATTTGTTTCTCGATCTCTGATTTGTTTCGACATAGAACTAAATTGAACACATCAATTAGGTTCTGACCGGGCCCGGTACATAGGTCAAAACCAAATCATCGAGGGGCCCAGATATCGCTTCTATTTCTAGAAGGAACAGATAAACTTTGATTGATATGCTTGTACTAACTACTTGTTGAATTACTCACAAAGGCACGTTTTATGACATCGAGTTACCAATGCGTTTTCGTGCAATCAATGAATAACCAACTCATAGTCAACAACTCATATCTCTAGGTTTGAAGATTTATATGATATTACCGTCTCACGATCACTCGAGATAAATTCCATGAAGTGATGCAAGTGAGCGTGGGTTGGATCCAATACTCAGCCCTTATGAGTACTCATGAATGTTGTAGCAACCATTGCATTGTCCAAAGCACTTTTAGACAAATCATACAAGCCAAATTCATGACAGTCTTAAATCAATACTTACTTCCAAAGTTTGACTGACTGTGGATGGTTTGAATAATTACATAATTATTCTGGAAGTAAAAACATGCAAAATTGAAACATAGTAAACAATCAACACAAGATAGTAACACCTTACTCATAAATAAATAACAACTTTTATTTATCATCAAATGTCAATTACATTTTACAAGTTTTAGGAATCTAATTATTGAAACTAATATCATCCTTCAGCCCAATGCGCCTCGCATGCTGTAAATGCTTAACCCTGCTCAGTCCCTTCGTGAGGGGATCTGTCGGGTTCTCATCTGATGATACCCTCTTAGCCACGAGGAGTCCTTCTTCTATTCGATGTCTGATGAAATGGTATTTTCTGTCAATGTGCCTAGATCTCCCGTGATCTCTTGGTTCCTTAGCCAAAGCAACCGCACTTTCATTGTCACAGAAAATTTCCATTGGCTCCTTTATAGCTGGTACAACTCCAAGGTCTCCGATGAAGTTCTTTAGCCATATCGCCTCCTTAGCTGCTTCACTTGCTGCTATGTACTCTGATTCACAAGTAGAATCAGCTACTGTCTCCTGCTTGGAACTTTTCCAAGTAATTGCCCCTCCATTTAGGATAAAGACCCAGCCTGACTGAGAGCGGAAATTATCCCTATCAGTCTGGAAGCTAGCATCGCTATATCCTTCCACTCTCAAGTCATCACTGCCTCCGAGGGTAAGGACCCAATCCTTAGTCCTCCGCAGATACTTGAGAATGTTCTTTACCGCTGTCCAGTGTGCCTTGCCAGGGTTCCCTTGATATCTACTGACCATGCTCAAAGCAAAGGCCACATCAGGGCGAGTACAAGTCATAGCATACATGATCGAGCCCACAGCGGAAGCATATGGTATATGACTCATTTCAGCTATCTCAGCCTCTGTACTCGGACTCTGAGTCTTACTCAGCTTGGCATTACTCTGGATTGGTAATTCTCCTTTCTTGGATTCTTGCATGCTGAACCTTTCAGCACCTTATCCAAGTAAGTACTTTGACTAAGTCCAATTAGTCTCTTACTCCTATCTCTCAATATCCTTATCCCTAGGATATAGGCAGCTTCCCCAAGGTCCTTCATAGCGAAACACTTCCCAAGCCAGGACTTAACCTCCTGCAAGGTTGGGACGTCGTTTCCTATGAGAAGTATGTCATCCACATACAACACCAAGAAGCTAACTATGCTCCCACTAGCCCTGACATACACACAAGACTCATCCTCACTCCTAGAAAAGCCAAACTCTTTGACTTTCTCATCAAAGCAAAGATTCCATCTGCGAGATGCTTGTTTCAATCCATAAATGGATTTATCAAGCTTACACACTCTATTAGGGTATCTTGTATCGACAAAACCCTCTGGTTGAGCCATGTAAACATCCTCAGCCAACTTTCCATTAAGGAAAGCGGTTTTGACATCCATTTGCCATATTTCATAATCATGAAATGCAGCTATGGCTAACAATACTCTAATAGACTTAATCTTAGCTACTGGTGAGAAGGTCTCATCATAGTCAACTCCCGGAGTTTGAGTAAAGCCCTTCGCAACCAGTCGCGCTTTA